AATTTATTTGCATAAGCTTTTTACGAAGAAGAGCCCATAATCTTAATGAGATTACCATTTAAATTGGTTCTGATTTTAATTAGGCGGTATATGAGTATATATTTTCTCCTGCTACGTACATACGCACATAGAAACGAAACTACAAACACATTTACATAATTGGCGTAAACTATATTATAGGCAGTTTGTTAAATTGTGACACAGTTTACAAAATAGCATGCTGTTTATGAAATTGAAATTAAACAAAAAAGTTTTTGAGTTTTTTTTCTCTCCTTTTCATTTTTGTTATTACGTTTGTAAATAACCTTTGTTTATATACTTAAACACGCTTTCTATTTTTTCGTCGTATTTGAATAAAATAATAATATAGTGAAAATATAGAAGAGTCGAAATGTAAGCAAAGTTGGATTGTCGTACACACAGTAATATTGAACCAATTGTCCTTTAAATATAGCAATATGGGTGGTGGTTTTGTTTTTGTACAGGCTTTGTGTATACGAAGTGTTGTTAAAGGCGAAATGTTTCCGTAATATAAAAAGTTTATGTTTTTAATTTTTTCCACAATTTTCTAATTCACTTTATATAGAGAGCGACACCATCTACATATGTATATATAGATAGGAACTATGTTTGTGTATTTATGTATAATTATTAATAAAGCAGGCAAAAATAAAATGTACAAAATAAAAGAAAAACAAGTGAATAGAAAATTTTTAACGATATAAACAACAATAATGTCAGGATAATAATGAGAATTATCCTTTAAAAATAAAAGAAGAAATAAATAAAAAAAAACAAAGTGTCAGTATTGCCTGGAGGCTTCTTATCTTATTTTAACTTTCATTTTTTTTATTGTATTTATTTTCGTTCTTTTGTTTTTCACATCTTATGAAAAACCCTTTTTCTATATAATTTTTTTTTTGTATATGCAAGCAATTGTGAAAGGAAAGGATTTTTTTTTCTGTTTCTTTTTAATTTTATATAGTTATATGTATATGAGCGTGAAAGTGTGTAATAATAATATTAATGGAGTTTAACAGTGGTTTTGTACTTAAGCTTTATTACTTTAAATTCAAATTTATGGGCTATTAAGGAATAGATTTATGAGTATTATATTTTGAAGGTATATGGTGGAATGGTGTAGTGGTTTAGTAGAGTACATGTGGTAATAACAATTTGTTGAACGAATAATAAAATTGTAAGAACATACACATATACATAATATATTTTAGTTTTACAATAAGTTTGAAAGCAATTTATTCGTAAATATATATGTGCCCTTAAAATAAATAAGAAAAATACTCTTATGTGATGAAAGTAGAGGAGAGTAAAATGTTGAAAACAACTGACAAATTTGAAAGAGAAAACGAGAAAAAATAGAGTTCATCATGTCAACTGTGTGATACCAGTATGAGCTTGTACGAACGAACATGAGCGAACACAAATGCTATAGCTGACCATGCGGCATGCTATAATTTTAATTGGCAAATTTTTTAAGTGGCGAATTTATAAAACTCTTCAGACATAAGTTCACACAGAAATATATAGTTACTGTATGAATATAATTATTTATGGCAAATTTCAGTACTGTGATTTCAATAGTTTCTAAGATATGACCAAACAATTATTGAAGTTTGTATGGCAGCTGACAGGAAAACAAAAAATATGCGAAATCTCTATATGTTATTTTAATTTCAATAATTTCTGAGATATAGCCAAATAACTTTTAAAATTGTAGGACAACAACCAAAATCACTGTCTCGGTCGCGTCAATTTTAAATCAGGTTTTGGCATTTACTATTGTAAATCGTTGGTAAAAACTTGATGAGCTTAGCTCAATACATACGTTCGCACGGGTATAATGGGAATTTTAATATTTTTGTTCTCGTACTATGAAGACAAAATGAACAAGTTTAGACGGAAGTCAATTGAATAACGAATTAAACGCCACGCCACAGACATTTGAGATAATACTGTCTCAAATTTTAAGTTTTCATAATAACCGGTAGAAAGCCAGTTATTAAAAAATTTGAAAGAGTAAATAAAAAGAGAAAAGAGTTAAAGAGAAATAAAAATTATTTTATTAACTATTTTCCACTTCACTATTAGTTGATAATTATTTTTTTTTATACTACGCTACGTATCTATCTCTAGAATCATTCTTTTCGGGCTCTTCTTCAAGTGCCGATTGTTATCATTTACGCACTCTAATATTTTATTCTTTTTCTGTCTAATATTTCTTTTCAATGTTACGTTGCGTCCTTTTACTTTGAACTTTGTTTAATTTTTCTAAAGCGCAATAATGTAAGAGAGAATGATATAGAAGCGTTAATTTATTACTTTTTAATTATGATAAAGCATTAAATTACGCGACAAGCTATTTATAATCATATTGTTAATGCACACAAATATACATAAACATACATATGGAAACCACTATAATTATAAATAGATGTTGTAATTTATTTTGACCTTAGAACACATCTTTATATTTTAAATGCTAACAAATAAATTTTAAAATATAAAAGTGTTAATTATAAATAATATAGTAATGGGTGATAATGTCACTATTTAGAGATAATTTTAGAAAAAAAAAATGTAAAATTTATTTTGAAATTGTTTCTAAAAAAATAAATAACGAAATCATGTTATTGAAATTATTTTTATAATTGGAACAGGTCAGAATCAGAAATTTCTTAAAAGTTTCTTTTATTTTTGTACATTTCCCTTTAGTTTTTAGATTTTTCTTCTGTTTTCTTTTTATAAAAAAAATCTTTAGGTTTTGTTAATCATTTTAGAGGCCATCTATTGAAAAATGTCAAGAAAAAAAGAAATATTTTTTTTTTATATTTTAGTCAATAGTGTGAATTTAAAGGTTATTTTTGATACGCTTGATAAGAGAGTTTAAGTAGTTCATTTGAGATAATACAAAATTTATTGGGGCTTTTTAGTGTATTTTTTGATTTTATTAAAAAAAAATGCGACAGTTTTAAAAAGGGAAAAATCATAACTAAAATTTCATCATTAAAATTGATATAAGGAACGGGTTTTTTGATGCTGTGATAATTTTACAATGTTATTAAATTTAGATAAACATTTTTCATTGATAAAGTTGGAAAATAATTTTGGAAGCTAAGACAAATAGAATTTTGAAACCCTACAGTGGTTTGGAGTTATGCTCCTTATATTTCTAACATTAGTTCCGTAGTTCTGTTTAAAATTTTATGAATCCAAGTCTACCTATTTGTAAAAAAATGAAGATATTTCAGTATGTGAAATAGTGAATTTCTGCGTACATGTAACAAATTGCAATTAAGATCGTTTTTCAAGCTGTATCTCGTTTTTAATTAGAACTAGAATTGAATTAGATGTACGAGTCATTAGGACTATCCTAGTTATCTAATACAAATTCTCATATAAACCAAATTCAATTATTGAGTTACTAAGCACAAATCAAGCTCACACAATTTAATAAAAAATTTCAAAAAATCCTTAGAAATAATAAAAATTTTTATTTATTTGGTTTTTTGGTTGGGTTATTTTGGTTTTTATTTCAAAGAAAACAATACATCATTTAATAAAGTCATAAAAACATGGTGTTTTTTTGTATTTCTGATTTAAATTAAACTATGAATACAAGATTTTTTTATTAAATAAAATACCGAAAAGTTTTGAAACATTTCTAATAAGTCAAACCCTCATTATAGCTATCCCATTTTTTTTTCAGAAAATTTAAATGTTACATTAATGTAAAAATTAAAATCTTTTCTATTTTAATATGACACAAGTAAAATTTTCTCATCATTAACAATCAGTAAAAATTAAAGTTGGTTACCTTTTGTTGTAGTTAATTTTTTAACAAATTGATTAACGAAATGAAAGTGTATATTTATTAATAAAAATAAGAAGACATTCAGCCCAACCCTTTTCTAATCAATACGATAAAAAACACAAAAAATAATTTTCATGACAAAGAAAAAAAAAACATGTAATAAAATTAAGTTGAGACCCAAAACAAAAATGGGCATAAACATTATGTTGGTATACAAAGTGTCCAATTTGAGTGAATTTTGTAAAACATAAGTAATTTAATTATGACAAAAGGAATATTGTCTATTTGAAACCAATGAGTTATGGATAGAACAGATTGGATAAAAAACTGATTAAGTTAGACAGTCTGTTACATATACGTTATACTCTTATTTACTCTCACATTTTTCAACTCGACATCAAACCGGTTCAATTACTTTTTTGAAAAATGACATATTTTTATGACATAGAAAGTAATTTTAATACCACTTCAATGATATTTTTGTCAATAGATTGATAAAAAATAAAGCAGATTGTGTGAAATCGAAATTTTTTGATAAATTCAGTTCCGAATAAAAGATATCGAACATTGATATCGCGAACATATAGAGAATCCTCTAGAGAATCCTCTAGAGATGGGACCCATGTAATCAAAGCTTGATAATGAGCGGATAAGGTCTAAGGGACTCGGTAATAAAATGGAACATTTGTCCTCAAAAGAGTGCAGCTAATCCATCGAATACGTCATGTCAATCAAACAAAAAGGTGCAGTTCTGATTGGAAATGTAAAACTTAAAATTTATGACTTTTATAGATTTTGTACGTTAGCCATTAAAAATTTAACATAAGTAGGAATGTTTATCAAAATCCAAACAAATTTGCGAAAGGTATAATTTTGTGATTTGGCTGATTTTCGTAGAAAATGTCCTTTAATATATTCGGTATTTGTGTTTTTATTAATATTAATCAATGTTTACCTTAAACGGAACAACTTGTAAAAAATTGATTGGCATTATATACACAAATAATACATACATATGTACATGTGAATATGTGTGAGCTTTAACAGTTTTAAAAAATCCCAATTATTGTTAACAAGAATAATAGAAGAAAAATATTGAAATTATGACAACAAAAATAAAAAACAGCAAGAATGAAAAATAAAAATAGTCAAAAATTAATTTTTTTACCTTGAATGCCTAATTATGCGGTTCCAAATTAGTGTCGCTTTTATTTTTCGCAGTACGTGCGGTTCTTTCCACTTTTAAATGACAAAAATAAACTACATAAATGATTTTTTTGTTTCTCTTGTTTTTGTTATTATTGCGTTTTTTCCCTTTTCTTTTCAAAATATTATTGATATGTGCACAGGTAAATAAATCTGAAAAAATCAAACAAATTCACATTTATAAACAAAATAGAAAAAAAAATTAAAATTAGATAAAAACCAAAAAAAGAATAAAAACAATAAATTAAAGTTAACAACAAAAAAATCAAATAATTGTCAATAATTTGACAACTTTGAATATTGATTAAAATTTTTTTTCTAACTACATATTTATAAACTAAAATTTTCTGAATACAAGTGAAGTATCGACCCAGTACAATTCCATATACAAAATAAATGATATAATTTGAATAATAATAAGAAAATATTAAAAAATAAAATGCGTAATGGTAATAAAATTATACGGAAAAGGGAATAGAAAATTATGAAAACAAAATAATAATAAATAATAACAAAGGCGGTTTTTATGTAAGGGGGAGTGAAGGGAGAGGTAAGTAAATTGAGTTTAATTCGATTGAATTGCATTTAAATAAAATAAAGCGGCACTAGTTTATTGTGAAACATTATTGTCGCTTGTCGCATTTAAAAAAGTCAACAAACAAAGAAATAAAAACTTTTGATCCCCTATTATCATAAATGGCGATCAAAATGGCGTCTTATAAACATTTTCACCACAAAATTATTATTATTTACTTATTATTACTGAATATTGATGTTATTATTAACTATTTTCATGTAATTGTGAATTGAATAATAAGTTTTTTTTGTGGTTCTATAATGTAGGTTTAAAAAAAAAAATTGTACTATGAGAATTTTATTTACATACATTGTAATTGTAGTGGTTTAAAAATTGGGTACCAAACTATTTAGTGGTCTTGATCTAAAAAGATGAAAAAATTTCATTTTTATTGGTCAGTTTTACACTGACCAAAAAGCTAAAAGTTTTAGATAATTTTCTAAAACTTCAAAGAAATATTTTAGAAAATTAATTGTAAAACAATTTCCTTTCTTTTACTACTCCTTGTAGACTATCAAATATATGCTAACATTCATTTTATGAGTTTAAATAAGTGCATACATAAATGTGTTCATTTATTTTGCGAATCATTAGAGCATTGTAGAATGAAATCTCATATTACTTAACAATTTTCTTATTTATATATCTGCATCCTGTATGAGTCTTCATTCAATTATTTCGGGAGCTTTTAGAAAATTTTTTTTTGGAATTAAAATTAACCAAAAAAAATATTAACTTGGTAATGTATAGTACGTAGTGCGTACGTGTACTATATACATATATTTTGGTATAAAATGACGGTTTTCCACAAAAAAACAAAACTTTAACACATTGGTTAGGAAATGAAAACCCAATTAATTTTCTTAATTTAATCTAATAGACTAAATCATTTAAAACTTGTATACTATAAATGAAATTGAAAATTACATGTTCTTAGTACATGGAAGCTCATATAATCTCAATTGTCATCTTATTAATTTACATAAAAATTAAATTAAATTGGATCAATGATAAAGTAATGAACATAAAAGTTAATAAAATCCAAAATGTATTTTACATTCAAACCCGAATAATAATCAAGGTTCAAAAAGCCACGGCTGAATAAAATTTTTGAATTGCAAAGTAACGAGTTACCATAACTTTTTTTTTCTTTAAAACAACAAAATATTGTTAAATGAAAAACAAAATTTTCAATTTGCCCTTTGACATTAAATCAACAAAGAATAAATCAAAATAAGCAACAATAATGAAAACTCGAGAACTAAAACTCTTAAAAAAATATTGCAAAGCAGAACTAGAGTTACAAATGGTTTTTTTTTTTAAAGAAAATTTACGAGGAAAATAGTAGCAAAAAATTTAGTAGTTCCAACTATGTAGTCTATCTTTCCAAGCAAAGAAAGCAAAAACTAGAAAACAAAATAAAAGTAGAAAAAAAGAAAGCCAGCCAAGCCAGCCTCTTTTTTCCACTCTTTTCATCCCTATTACCTTTTGCAAAATAAATATTTTCTCTAATCTATACCCATTCATACAGTAGATATGTATAGGATGTGTGTATGAACATTGACCTCTTAAATGTTTATCACGTAAAATATATTCCAGAAATAAACGATGTGATTTTTAATTTAATTCCTCTAGGATAGTTTTCGTTTTTCATCATTGCTTTCATTCTTCATAAATAAAATCGATACATGAATCGATAGTGTATTGACTCTAATTTAAGACCAAAACAAGGAAATTTGTTTCCACTCTGGCAAAAAATTCTTTAAACTCTGGGGTATCTGTATGGGTTCTACGAACTTGGTTTTCCATAAAAATGCTATTTTAGTATTCTTTAGTCGTGATTAATTTGTTATTTGCTATAAAAATAAATTGTAAACAATTTATGTCAGCACTTTGTTGCATGAGAAACAAATTCGTCCAAAATCTAAGATCTAATTCAAAGATCATCAGTTTAAAAATTTTGTTGAGCTAGTTAAAGTTGTGACCATATGTACATAGCTTTGCTGCGGATATATTTAGCCTAAGTTTACCTTTGTTAATCTAAGTAAATTGTAGTAAATTCAGTAGTGTGTTTGTATTGAATTAGTCGTCCTTTTAACATCATAAAAGAAAAAAGAAAATAACTATACCTTTCTTTTATATTTGTGTATTCTTGTAGGAATTAAAATAAAAAATTACAAGTACAAAAACAAAACAGCAATACAATATCAGTAGGATTAGTGGTAACAGCAGTTTAAAAACTACGACAGAAGCACGACAAAAATTTCTTACAAATTTTTATATTTTCAGCAATAATAATTTCTCCAATAGTGCACTCATTATCATAACGTTTCATTGCATTTTCTATCATGAGTCATTTCGGATGCTGTACGTTTAAAAACACACATTTCTATGTATACGTATAAAATTATTGGAGAAAAAACTGAGAAGCAAAATAATTTATTTGTTTTTTCTAGTCTATATCCTTAAATATTAGAAGACCGTGACAAAAATATGTGCAATGTACGGTTTTTTTTCTTTTTTTTTACGTTTTCTGTCGTGTTGCCTGTTTGCATTGCAAAAAAAAAAGATGCTAATAAACTGTGCATTTTTACTCTTGGGCATTTAGTGTTTTGGTATTTTTTTTTTTTTTTTCTAATCTTTGAATTATGATTTATAAAGCTACAAAAACAAATCCGTGTACAAAAAGTTTTCCCTTAAGAATATGATGACGGTTGAATAATTTTAATTAAACAAAGGAATATCAATAAAATATGAACGCAATATTGATGAAATCCTTATCATCGCCTTGTTCTGTGTTTGATAAATGAATTATTCCAAATGGTGAGATTAGCTCAAGAAACATTGATTAAAATTAATTAGAAATTGAAACTAAAAATGGAAAATATTTCCTGTGAAAGATAACGTGTCGCATTTAATTTTGTGGTGAATTACAACATTAGAAATTTCAACTGGAAAAAATAAAAATGTCATTGTTTTTGTATAGCTGAACATTGCAACTAAAATATTCTGCTGTAATGTTCAGCTACATTCTGCAAAATAATCGCAGCATTGTCTTTTCGATTACACCCACAGGGTTTAGTACACATAGAATGTCATTTTCTTAGTTTTTTCTCATAATATTTTAAAAATTTGACAGAAAAAAAGCTGCTTTTTTCAATTGTTTGGTGTGTTATCAGCAAGCAATAGTAATTTTTCTCCATTATCTTAAGATATGCAGTTTTGTAATGCTTTAACGCATTTACAATGTAATGTAAATCACTAGATAAAAAATTTTAAACATACGCTGATCGAACAGTTACATTCATATACAGTATGAATTTTTAGTACAATATACGGATTGTACATTACAATCTAATTCAAATACAGTGTTTAATTCTATGATTCTAATTAAATTTATAAACAAATAAAAATTTTGATACTGAAAACGATACAAGAAGAAAGAATGATGGAAAAATTTTTCCATTGCAATATTATATCTAAAGATTTTAGAAGTTGATATATGAGACTTAATATTGTTGTGTTGCATTCAATCATAGTCCTTACACTGGAATTATAGTTCTTAAGCGTTTGATTTTTAAATTGAATGAAAATTGTGAACTTCAATAATATTTGTCTATGATCCATAATTTGCTAATTAGAGGCTCGACTTACTTTCAATTTTGTGTTGTCATGTTGTTTTCGGGTAAAATTTCTTGCTGAGTAATTTGGGAAATCTCTTGCAAATTAAGTTATTAAAAACTTTAATATTAGTATTTGTAAAGTTTTAAGAATATTTACATGTTCAATTCAAATAAATCGCCAATTATTTATATGCGAAAATAATATGCTTAGTACCAGTACAAAACAGTTCACGTTTATACATTGCTTAATTAATTTTGCAACGCCATTAAAATTTGAGAACTTTTTTAAACTAAATTAGTTTTTTTATTTTTAGTTTGTTCAACACAAAACTGCAATATGGATTTTCTTTCACAAAATTTTTAATCTGATACATTGAATTTTTTTTTCACGAATCAAATCTCAAAATTTTCAAAATTATGCTTTTGTTTTCTTTTTTTGCTTTTTCAAAGTAATAAATCACTTCCACTTCAAATAGATTTTCTCATTTCGACATTAAATACTTGTATGCTTTAATCATTGCTCGAAAAATGCACAACATCATCAAAAAGTTCATCAATAAGAAGTAAATTTTCTTTTGTTTTTGTTGATTGAAATCTCATATTTCAAAATAATTTTTGCAGAGTGATTTGCAAGCCAATAATGATTATAAGGCGATTAGAATGATGATGAAAAGTTGCATATAAATTCAAACACATATTAAAGTCAAGCATAGTGTATTATTAGCATATTTTTAAAGAGTGTTCCGCAAAACCTTGGTGATTCTGGAAGATATACAACAACATATACCATTCGTAAGAGGATCGAAAACGGGTAAAATATTTAATCCGGACTGTTTTTCATAGAATTTTTCCCAGCTTCTTAAATGTTATTTTTTTTATAGAATTTTTCCCAGCTGCTTAAATTTTAATGTAAGTCCTTTAACATTAAAAAAATTTTTATGTTACAGAAGATA